CATCTACTTGGGAAGGTTTTGCTAAATCCTAAGACCCGACATGACTTTAGAGGATGCAAGTCAGCATTTGTGCAAAAAACCAAAAGTTTGGATCCACTCGCGACAAGGTTACGTACTAAATTGAAGTCAGCAATTACAGTCCTGCGGTAAATGTTCCATGGATTGTCTTTCCTCACATTAGAAGCAACCCTTTGACTGAACATGGCCCGACGAGTACGCAGGGAGCGAATTCAGGAACTAAGTCGGTACACTTAATAAATGCGAAATTCGCTGGTCATAGAACTACATCAATGAATGTTTTGGCAAACTTTTAACGTAAGTAATTTCAACAATTAAATCCAGAAAGAGGAATCATAAAAAATGTGCCCCGTACAGACTTTAAGACCTATTCAATGTACATGAATTTCTGCAGAGTGGAAATTTAACGACTTGTACTACTACAAAATGCCAACTGGATCGTCTTCAAAGCATGCACGATGATTAGAGCCATGCAGAACTCAAGTGGATGGGATTTTTGTCCATTAAATCGTGATCTTCCCAAAATTCGAAAAAATTTGCTTTTGCTAATAGTGAACCTAAGAGGTGATGAAACTCGCTTTGCAACGAAGGCTTATTCATATACAGGTCGTTGCTTTAAATACATATCGGAATTATTTTGAAGTTTGCAATCAAAGTGCTCTGTTAAAGAATTCAGAACAAATCCTTTTACTGATCCCAGAGATGGCAAGTAATGATTTTAGTGGCACTTTAATAAGCCACAATGAACATCAAAATCGTCTTTGAGAGCGCTCTCGCCCCCAAAAGCCTGAAAACCAGGTTATAACTGTTAATAGTCCGGAAACGGAACCAGCTAAGGTCAAAAGACAAGCCTTGTCGCTTCCATAAATAAGAAATAAGAATAGTAATGCAAGTTAAAGACTCGTATTATAATTTCGCCCTAACACCCTTTTCATAAAGTCAACCTCATATGCTACTTAAGACGTTGACTAGTAGTTAACTCAACATCAAGTCCAAGGTTTTTTGGACTGTGCCGACTTTATAAAGTAAAAGGGCTACCATTCACAGGAATTCAATGGCATCTCCTTAACCTATAATAAATCTTTCAATCGGGTACTCAGATTGCTGCTTTGCCCAGGGTAGGACACAAATTTAGTCCAAAGAAGTCGGGCAAATAGATTAGGCAGAAATAAGAGAGGTCAATAAAAGTAAGCAAATAGCTGGTAAAAAAGAAATACTAAAGCATACACAGGCCTGTGGAATGGCATGTGGGATCAACAACAAGTAAAACACCGCTTATCTAAGTGTGTGCTAATTTTTTCTCAAAAACTAGACATCTATTAGTCGCCTCTGTACAAACAAAAGGAATGTACAGGCCAAATGACCTAACTATCCAACATAACACCTAATAATTAACCACTTGACAAACAAGTTAGCTAGAGAAAGGTAGTAAGAAGGGTTACAGCGAGCATTTTACGGGAATTTGACGCTACAGACTTGACTCACAATGCAGGAACAAAGATTCAATGCGTCATTGGGGTGGTAAATGTAAAAATAAAGCAGATGATTCTTTCTGTGTTCAGAACCTAACCTTCTCCTCCTCCTCCTCTCCCCCCTACCGCCCTCATCCGGTGAAATTTTTGCTCTAAGGAATGTGTAGCGCTAACTAGTTCGATGGAGTAATTTCCTTAAAACATGTACGAAAATAGTCCGAGGGCATAGTAGATGTAAAGGGAAGAGAAGTCCCCGTGTTCATTGGAACACCATTGGGTGTGCTCAGAATAATGGATGAAGAGGGAGGGGATAGGAAACACTAAGCGCCGACTAGATTCACATCCGTGTTCAGAGTCTGGAAAGCGTTCCATAACGAGATGGCAAACTGAGTCATGACCATGCAATTCAAGCACACGCACTCTCCAAGCAAAAAAACCCATACGTCTCCATGTTACTGAACTCCTCGTGTTGATTACTTGTTAACAAACTGAAAATAAACTCCTCTATCTGCAAAAGTGTAATATTAAAAGATCGAGTCTACTTTTCCTGCAACCGATTTTTGTGCTCGTAAACTCCTGACTAAGGGAATTATCACGGAGCTGAAGTTGTTGGTTAAATCGACAGGAGGGGAACCACTTCGAGACTGAGGAGGGCGACAAAAAAGTCATGAGCGGGACTAATCTAGATCATCATCAGAGATCTAAGCATCATTTGGTGATCAAAAACAATTGTTTAAAACGCTGTCCTCGAAATGCAACGTAAAAGGCCAACAAGCAAAACCGATAAATTACAGCTAGTGTGACGATAAGCAATGATTGGACTGCTTGTAGGATGATAGAACAACCAAGATTTGTGACTGTTTCATGGCAATCAAGTCGCTAGGCCACTTGTCACTAAGGCATATTATTTTTACGCCAACGAAGATTCCACACCCTCGATCTACAAGTCAGCACCTTTCACAGAAAAAGGACAGAAAATGTTGAAAGATTATCACACAAACACACACACGCACACACGGTGCTCACGTCCCATCATGTGATTATTTTGTGTGTTCAGGATGAGAAGGGTATTAGCAATTCCACAATTATAAGATTTGCTGATGTGAAAATGTTTATGTAATGCTGTAAACAAACGGCAGAGTGAGAGAGAGCGCGAGAGAGACGCAACATTTAACACAAAATATGGTATTTTAAAAGTTAACCGGATAAATGTTTTATCTAAATAAACACATACACACCGCAATTTGTGCATTGTGATAACATGCATCAAAGGTAAAGGAAGTGAAAGACACAGTTTTGTTTTCACACGTCTTTCCTCCATCTCATACAGTGGACAATTTACATTAGGGAGTAGAAGAGTGCTGCGTCATTAATGTAGAAGATTGAATCAAAGCCAGTCTTTTAGATCTGATGTGTGCGGCTTACAGAAAATGGGAAGTCAAGAAGAAGAACCAAACTATCAAAGTTACCATGACATTCCTTTACCCATTCAAAGGACTAAAAAGGATGCAGAAAACCTTGGTCCTGGTGTGAAATAGTTACTTCATTATCATTTGCGGAAGCAAAAAGTATGCTTAACAAAATTTTAATGTGTACGACTACTTTTTTTTACAATTCGTCATTCAAGCCATAAAGAAATGGTGTGCTTAATTGTGCAAATGTTTCCTCCACGACAGCCTGAAATCGCAGTGTGCGATTGAAGCAGGGGCTAAAATTGTTATCACCATACGAAATCCTCAATCACTCTTGTGATTAATTGTATGCAAACATATGTAAAGCAAACTAGTTTTTTAAAGATACGTTTATAATTGTGTTAAGAAATGATCGAAACAAGCAATGTGATAGGGTAGGGGCAATAACCGCCCACTCAAGAAACAGCAAAATGCTTCAAATCACGAGAAGACGTAACGGTAGAAGGTGAAGACTATGGGAGTGTGACGCAACAAGGAAGTAGGAAGAGAGAATGGTTGGAGTCCCCACACCGACGATTACAAAAACACTCGAGTAAACACACATACAGGCACAGTGAAATATGGGCTGAGGTCCTGATTCGCAGTAATTGACACAACTCAGATTTCTTCTAGCACCAGCTCAGTCTGGAGAAATAGATTACACTTCGCAACCTACGCATGTGTCTGAGCGAAAACTGTGCATGTTTATAGGCTTAGTAAATACCACAGGTCCATAAACACACTAGAAGGGAGGGACGGTCAGTCAGACTATTGACGCCTATTTTTGCAATGTAAACGCAATCCTCGGAGCCTTGTTTATACCACACCGCCCAAAGTTCATGAATGCGTCAACGTGTGAGTGGAACTTGGTCATCAAAACAATCCTCCTCTCCTCTCCACTGTCCCCCTACTCAAAAATTTGATGATCCATTATACGCGCTCTAGGGATCAAATTTCACCTCGGTTCAGTGTGTGCGTGTGTGTGTGTGTACCTTGGCCCTTATGAGTTAAGGAGTGGAAAAAAAAACACAGGATCCTAAGCCATTGAGCATTTAAGATAACCCTATCCTCGTTCCTTTCTCCTTCTATCTTATTGAGTTAGAAAAGAGAGGGGTGGGAGTTTCTAGGGTAAAATTTGGACGATGATGGGGTTCGACAGTTGGTATCAGGCAGTAACATCCATCCCCATGTGTTTTGGTGACTGAATCGTGGGAACGATTGTAGTTTTTTCTGCCAAGCTCTTAACCCGCTAGCCTATATGCATCTGTTTTCGGTTAAGCCTTCTAGCAGCAGCTCATAGTTTGATAAAACACAGTAGTGCGTGTGCACGCTCGTGTGCGTATATGTGTGCAGTTGACAGACATCCCATCCCCTATCATTATCATCACAGTCATCAGCCTCAGCACATGCACACACACACACACACACACAAGGTAAGCTGTCAATGCTCTACCGATTCCGTGCAGTGGTGAGGGAACTAGTCGTAATTGTACACATGTGGCGATCCCCTTCCCCAGACCGATGCGCTATTGACTCTTGACCACTGACTCGCCTTTTAAACCTCTGAGCAAGAGTAAATACTGACTTATTTGTTGAAAAATTCCAAAGGATTAGAATCTGCTTTAGAGGCAATAATGCGATGTTTTATTGATTTGACTGAAGGCGTGTAAAATGCCTCATTTCGGGCCATGACGATGTGCAGTTTGATTACACCGAAGTAAAGTGCAGGTTCAGCTCAAGCACTCTACCACTTGCATTATGCTCTAAAGGCATAAATGGAAAACTGAGGAGCTTTGGAAACGTCTTTTTGGTGACACAACAGATACGAATTGAGATTTTCGCCATGTATTCACATCGTGGGGCCTTCAAAAGATTGACAGAAAAGTACAGCCTGGCTCCCTCCTCTATGGAAACTTTACTGACTGAACTGCAATTTGGAGGGGCACAGTCGCAAAATAATTGAAAGCATAAAGAAAATTTAATGTACTTTAAAAGTAATCTTTTTCTTATCCATTTAAGTATTTTTTTACCATCTGCTTTCACTTACGACATAAAATGTCTATTGCTTGCAAAGACATTTAAAAACCATCTTATCCAATTTCGCACTCACATGTTGACAAATTTTGCATTTATAACCCTTTGCGGCATGTCCATAAATTCCCGGCAGACCATCCATCATCCCGAGGCCACCACTCATTGTCGGGGGTCCATCGAAGGGTCCAATGCCTCCACCGACACTTCCACGAAGTCCAACGCCACCAGATGGATCCAGTTTTGTTTCTCCCATAGCTGCAGCTGCAGCGGCAGCAGAGGAGGAAGAGGAGGACAGGAAGTCGGGCAGAAATCCACCAGCAGCATGCAAACTGCTAAGAGGATGAGCACCAGCAGCACGTGGATCCATAACCATTTCATTAGCAACATCGCGGGCTGCTTGTGCTGCCATAGCCGCAGCCATAGCAGCTGCCTCTGAGGAACCGCGTCCATGAATACCGCCACCTGGTCCTTTCGACACTGACGGTTGAAAAAGATAATTTGTGGAATTCATGGAGGAAAACACGTCGCCACCACCCCCACCTCCTTGTAGATGGTCCACAGTTGGTGTGGAAGTTGCTGAGGAAGAAGATATGTGCATGGATAATGATGGGGCCGGCGGTGGCATTTGCCGATCACCCTTTGCCACTGCTTGCAAGGCTAATGCCATTGCTGTTGCAGAATTGAACTCATTTGAGGGTCGTTTGAGGCAGTAGGAGGGAGCAGCTGAACTAACCGAAGGTGAGGCACTAGACGAAATTCGTCCATCCAGGGGTGAAGCAGATGATCCTGTAGCACCAACACCAGCGGCGCTGTGAAGGCTTCCAGTGGAGGAGTAGTGTCGTTGGAATTGCTGTTGGTGCTGTTGTTGCTGTTGTTGGGATGTTGGGGATAATGAGGGATTGTGATAGGCACTACTATTGAGGGGAGAAGAACTAGCTGAATTGATTGTTGGTTGCTGTTGTTGACGTCCGTTCATTAGCGCCGCACGTTGATCGAACGGTGGAGGAGGAGGCGGCGGTGGGGGTGGTGGAGGAGGAGGCGGCCCTTGAGAAACCGGTCCCAAACCCGACATTCTACCACCTCCTCCTTGTTGCTGACCCTGCATTTCCGAAACAGCTACCGCTGCTGCTGCTGCGGCAGCTGCTGCCTCACGTTGCTGACGCTGATGCTGCTGCATTTGCTGCAAAGATGGCACCGCACTGCCCGTGGAATATGGCAGCCTGGAGTAAAATGATTCCAACGAACTTTCCTGGTGCTGTTGAGCCTGCTGCTGTTGCTGATGTTGGTGTTGAAGCTGTAGACCCTGTTCGAAGGATCCTCCAGCACCAGGGGAAGATAATCCCAGCGGTGGAGTGGACTGGACATTCCCAGTAGAGGAGGAAGAGGTCATGTTGGGGTAACCAGTGGTGGCCCATGGCCAGAGGAAAAGGCCCGTTCGAGTTCGAGGATCGGTCCCAGTCACATCCATGTGTCATATACTTGTCTGAGTGTGTGCGCCTCTGTGCGTGTTATATTGATCGGGTAACCGTCGGAGCAGAGTAAGAAAAAGTTACCACCCCGGGGCGTATGTGTGTGTGTGTGCGGGTGCGCGCGACAGAGGATTCAAAAATAAAGTGTGTGTGTGTGTGCGTGTGTGTGTTTCAGGTGAATGGACGAGGGAGTGATACGCCCGCACCTGCGTCCTCCTATCTCCGATGCTCTCTCTCGCTTCTCTTCTCTCAACGTACGTACGTGCGTGCAGCGTGCAGAGTGTGTAGCGCAGTAGTAGCAGTGGCAGTAGCAGTCGTACTTATGTTCTCCTTTTTTGATGAAGAACCAGCATGTCAATTACACAGGCGGATATGTGTGTGCTGGTTGGTATATATATACACACACACATACATACGTATGTATGGATGTAAGGCATAAGCGCGCGTGACACACGTAGACACACTTACGCACACTACAGCAGCTACCAAAGGGATTCGAGCGTGCGTGCGTACGTTTGTGCGTGCGCACGTGGGTGCTGAGTGCTCGCGTGCGTGCGGCCCGCTGTGTGCGGCGATGATACCCGAAGCAAAGGGGAGAGCGAGATGGAGACTGTGCGTGCGCTTAAGCGTGCAATTTCACGATAGAAAGAATAGGGAGGAGATTGGAATAGGCCTCAGTGCTGCTGAATACACCTTCGTGTGTCACCCCGCAGAATCTGTGGCTCTCCCTTTCTGTGTGTGTGTGGTGGACATTGGGCCGCTCAATCATTGGTCTAGCGCAGTCACCAATCAGAAATCCACAGGCCATGTGAGTAGCGCGCATGCGTGCGTACGTACATCGGCTAAGCTTGGCCAAAGGGAAGTGCGTGCATGCGTGCGTACTGGCGTAACCATAGTCACAACTGCGTCAAGGCCAGCACGTGCACGTGCGTATGTGCGTGCATCCATCCTGCCAGCTGCGATACGTTTGCGTGCATGGAATGGAGTGTAGATGGACTGCAAATAACTTCTGGATAATCCCTGCTCGATTCGATGTCAATCGAAGTAGAGGTTTGATGAGACCCTGTGGCACGCAGACTTTGGCGCACCACCTAACTGACGCTTATGTCAATTGGATGTAGGGGGTATTTATACAGGCAAATCTTTGTATGTGCGTGTGTTCGTGTGTGTGTGTGTGTGTGTGTGTGTGTGTGTGTGTGTGTGGTGCCTGTGCATTCATGCGTTCGCACACAACATAAATTATCAGACCCAATCCGGATTCTGGACAAGACCTGCAGAAATCCATTCGCTCGCGCCTCTCTTGGGTGTGTACTTTGCTGTAATCACAGCTGATCGGGGGTGTTTCCATGTGTGTTGCGCGTGTGTGTTTTGAGTTCAATAACCACCCCTATTTGCTGCGTCATTGCTTAGGTTTCAGCATCGTTCCCATGGGACATAACTACACAATTTGATCATTAAGGAGATAAATAATAAGTGAGAATAGTTACTAGTACTTTTATTGAATTGGAATGTACTTCGCACAATCGATAGTAAAGAAAATTTTGTAGAGCCGACAATATTTCTTTCATTAAACCTACTCGACGACGCATTGAAGGTCGTCGACGCTGAACGTCAGCTTGAGCTGATGGCGATGTCGTCATCTGGTGCAACAAGGTTTTTTGTCAGCATCCTGTAAACAGTTGCTCTCCTGTCAATTAAGACGCAGGTTCAACGTAAACTAACGAGCGTTAGACAACTAGTGGTAGTAGTGATGGTGGCAGTAGTGGTAGGGCCTTCTATCATGACTTTCAATCGTTCACACATGACTTAAATCCCTCATTTAGGTTTCAAACGACATCATTTTCTTGAATGAAAAATCTATTTGCTTCAAAACCTAATTTATTTTTGGATGTCGGCCTTCACCTGCTTAAGAGAGTGAGCAGCAGTAACCGATAGTTCAATTTACCACGCAGTGGTACCTTGACATTAATTTTAGGCATTTGTCTTTTATTGTACGACCAGGTAAGCCTGTGTAGGATTTTATCCTCAAGAGGCTCGATTTTCGAATGTGTCACTAATTTGAACCTCCATATGGAATACTCCATAGCAGATGCTTTCCACGGGGCCGAATTCAAAAAACACCTGGTCTAAAAGCAAAAAAAACTAAGCTCTACACATCTCTGTTCTTATCTCACTTTTGTTTCCTTCACTGTCTATTTAGCATGGTTTCCCAACGCCAGGAGAAAATGATAGTCATCACTTGGAGAATTATGAGGAGAATAAGGGAATGAAGTTAGGTATCAAGTCTCTCTCTCTCTTCCCCTCCCCTCCATCTTAAAGTGTGGTAAGAGGTCTTCTCACAAGCATGTTTTGAAGTGTTGCCTATGAAGAGGACCTTCCTCCGGTAGATTTATCGGCTTTGGCCATTTTTGATGACAGTTTTTTTCGTGTTTTTATCTGTGTCCAATCATGTGAGACAGATCTTGGTTGTAATTGGTTGGCCTTTAACAAAACTCCAAGGTGAATAATTGCGTTTGTCGAGATCATACAATTATGGTGATGCAGGAGGTGAGTTTTGCATGAGGCGATGACCAAACCGTCAATCGAAACATCTGACTACGGCGTCCTGCTAAAACATATATGGAAAATTGAGAAACCTCTAAGCAGGCTCTGAAGGAAAGGGAAATCCGTTGGCACAAGTCAGTGGAACCCGCTGGGCATTGCAGTCTTCGTGGTAGAGGCACATGTAAGCGAATTGTTTCTTCATTGCTTGCGTCAAGCATTCCCAAAGTGCGTCCTTTTCACGGTTACCTTCAATTGCATTTGGCATTAATGGAGACAAATTCCCTCGTCGTGCGGATCGGAAGTTCTCTCAAGCAATTTTCCAACCTTATTTGGATAACTTATCACTGGAATGCGATTTTTTGACCAAATCGTGGACCGTAGACTGATTTTCACTTGCAATCCGTCATCCCCTTACCCAAGTATTGCAGGAATTATTCTAGAGAACTAGGAAAGATTTGAATGTGAGAATTAAGTTTCACAGTACTGAAGCTTTAGATTACTCTCCAAGCTGCAATTAATACTCCAGCATTTGATGTTACAGGTCAAGCAAGAAACTGTAGGAAAATAAAGAAAAATCACCGTACTAATGGATAGAACTATACAATTTTGAAATGCAACTGTGAAATCAGTTGATCCATGAAGGATTCGCAACCACCTTTGGAAGGAGTGTAGAAAAGGTTTTGGTCTATGCCACGCATAAGGCACAAATAATTTGTTTAATTACCAAAATAGTCAAACAAGTGTGAAAAAGGAGGAAACAATAAAAAACAAAAATCGGTAGGTGATTTAATTAGGATTGGTTTGTTGAATTGGGCCAAATTTAACAATTGCACCCATTCCATAGGACAGTCGATTAACAGCTGCAGTTATTAGCCCTGATTATTTCTTCAATTGAAAGAAATTTTGCACGACTTTTTGATTACCAGATTGGGATGGAGGAGTCAATCTACTGAATCACTTAAGTGGACACCGGTTTAATGCACTTCCTCCTATCAATGATGCTTTTGAAGTTTATTTGTCGAATCTCTGCTCCATGTAGTGTAGATAAGACACTCCGAACGCTGAGATCATCGTTTTCTATTCTTCCACGCCTCAAAATCTCTGGTTCCTTTTAGTTTTAGCGAAGTCTACACCCCGTGACCGTTGTTCACCGATTCGCATCCGCATCTACACCAAAATGCGAACAAGGCATGCCAGCTAGATGACTTGAAATGTTTACTGTGACAGCATTAAAAAAACACCAGCATTATTTGTCTCTTGAGTGAATTGTATTGATAAATGTGCACATTCATCAGGCCACGTTAAAGTGATTGGGGAAGGTTAAATTTTACAGAGCCCTCGATTTTGCGAGGCATATTTTTGCTTCGTGTGCCCATTCAGCGAACTCCTCAACGTCTACTTCTGACTGCGTTACGAATAACCAAAAGTCCTCAGGGGCACATCACCAATAATTTAAACACAGTTCGATTTGCGTCCACGATTTGCTCTTTTTTCCGTCAGAATTTGTATTACAACATAACATTCCGTTGTTATTGGGGATGAAAGATTCCGACATCACTTATTTTCTTTCTACAAAATTATCACTTCACTTGACTTTTAAAGGTGAATTCCGTGTGGAATTGTACTGAAGAGCGGTGCAGCACAGACGGCCCTAGACATCAACAACCAGCATTTGTCGAGTGAGGGTGTGGGTTGGTAAGAAAGTGAACACAGCAAACATGCGCATTTGGTGATGCAGTTCCTGGTCGGGGTTAAAAAGTAAACGTCAGAGCGAGGCCTCTGAGATCTTGATCAAGAGGAGGATCAAAATCGAGTTCAAGAAAGTAAGATAAAAAGCTCTGATATAGAATCACAATCGCAATAAATATGTGTTGTGAGGATCTGCGTTTGTGCCTGATTACTTTCAAATGAGCAAAATGCAGTAGATTTTTGAACTATATAGGCCCATTGTAACATTAAGGGTCCCAAAAAGAACGAAGGCGCTAATTGTGGATAAGGGAAAGTTCTCAGGGCTAAGAAGACTTAAGGTGGAAGGAAAAGTGCAGGACAAGGCGTACTTATCGATTGTGCTTCCTTATGCCATTCCATTCCGTGTTGTGTCCTGGCATGCCATGTCATGTGCCAATTAAGTCGCTACCTACCACCACCGCCACCACTACTTGCTACCACCACCACTACCGCCACCGTCATCGTCAGCGCTGCTAATGGAGGCCCCAGCAGACAGTAGACGACGTCGGCTGATTTGTTTTGTCTGCATGTGCAGCTTTCCAATCTCAGCTGCTCATGGAGGACTTTAGAACTGTCACTTTGGCTGTATGTTTATCTCGGTTACGGGTAATATGGAAGCTATTTTGGGTAGCGTTCTTGCGTACCTCTCTTGTTCTCTCCTTATTTTACTATTTGTTTCTCGATTTCTTGCAGTGAGTGCTAATCACACAGCGAGTTTTTTAATCAT